GGATTACGTGCAACAAAGAGTAACGCAGGTCAATCAGCCCAGCGGTTGCTGACTTACAAGCCTATTAAAAACGTTACAGGAATACGCTTCGCTAGCTCAAACGTAATAGAGTAGAATCATTACATATATGCAATTGCTACTATTTCCTGGTTTTCTTTATAGGCCAAGGCTTGGTAACTGATAACTCTGCTGCCCTGTAATGGGTCCGGCCCGCTGTGGCGAGTGAAGACACTCGCTCTGACTGACTGGACCGCCAGCCGAGACGCTGCTGACTCTGGTGGTGAATGGTGAGCGGAAGAGAAGAAAGTTTACGCCAAAGCTGAAGCAACTCTACATTGCTGTACAGCTAATACGCTTTTCACCTGGTGGCCAGTAGAGGAACTAACAGTTACTACAACTGACCGTCAGAAGCACCCAACACACACCTTGCCGCTCCCAGTAACATACCAGGATGTAGACCCCAGTCGGGCAGCGCTCCGGCGTCCGGCAGCCGCAGCTGGTCCAGCAGTGACAGCAGCCGGCCGGCGCTGCCCTCCGGCGCCGTCCGACAGGCGTTCACGGCCACCCCCTGACGGACAGACGTTACACGGTCAGCAGAGAGCCGACACTCGGTCAGCGGACAGTGGCGTTGGGTCACCGGATGGCAGAGCATCGCCGCAGCACACAGACCAAACAGGACTGTGCCGACAACGCAACCCCGTTGGAGTAACATGACCCTAATAAATGCACCGAAAATGCTCTGGTCTGTCTCCATTACTTATAATAATAAAAAAATGAAAGAACAACTGAGATGAGGGAAAGGAGTGAGGCGTCTGTTAGGGTCCCCGTGCAATACGCCTGGTGCGGTGACTGACCTCTGCGCCGCTAGCTGGAGAGCTGGTTAACCCGGCTGACGACCTTCTGTACCTCCTCGGCGGAGAGCGGGTGGCCGTTGGTGGCCCGCCGCAGCCCGTCCCGGTAGTCGGCCGCCCCATCCGGCGGCACGCCCTGGGGAGTCATAGCATAACACTCAGGCAGGTTCAGGTTTCAGTCCGACACACAGAACCGTCCGGCGACACGCCCTGGGGGCGACATATGGGCGCGCTCAGGGCTCAGGTACAGGTCTCGCGAGATTAAGCGGTAGGTTTTGCACTTTTACATTTCCGGTTATATCTCAGAAACTAATCGATCTACGATGAAGCCATTTTACACGATCATGGCCGGCTTGTTACCCAACAAGTCGATCGCATCTTCAACACTTAAAAGCTTAAGACGACAAAGATATAGCCTGAAGTACACTAAATTTTCTAGGTGCAAAACCTACCGCTAAAACCCGCGAGCCCTGTACCATGCACAAGGGCGCCGGGTGCAGTGTCTGTGTGTCCCTGACTGACCTGCAGCGGTGATGTCCCTGACTGACCTGCAGCGGTGACGCTGTCACAGAAAGCACCTGTTCATTGCCCAATGGATCCAGCCCAGTTCCGGCCGGCCGAGTGCCCGCACGTACGCAGCCAGTGTTACGGTCTGTGTTCGATCTATGTTACGGTCTGTGTTCAATCTATTTTACGCCCTGTGTAACGACCTGCGTTACGGCTTGTGTTACGGTCTGTGTTACATACCCTGTTCTGGGCGGTCTCCACCTTGACCCTCTTAGCGTCCCAGAGTCGGTATTGGTAGACGTGCGCGTTCTCTGCCGAGACGTCCCGCAGGTGAACGAGCAGGTTTTGTAGGCCGACCAGCGTCTCAGCTGGCACCTGAGAAGGTCAGGAGAGGGTAGGGGAGGTCAGTGGTGTACTGGCGTCTGACATAGACCAGCGGACAGGGGGAGGGGAGAGGGAGAGGAGTCTGGTGGCGCAGAAGGACCGTTCCGCGCTTGAAAGTGGACATATCTGAGGACCGTTCCGCGCGCGCTGACACTGCCTCTAGAACCGTTCTGCGAGCAGTCAGACATGCAGACCGGATTGATGTTTTGAAACTTTGACATAATAAACTTTAATTAAATCGACACAGGTACTCTAACCGCATGTGTTTTTTATATCGCGGACAAAAAAGTGGGGATTGTTAGGGTTAAGCAGGGAGTCACCGATGTTAGATCCCTCTCTGGGTCCTTTCATAGGTCACGGTCCTGACCCGAGATAGCTGAGCTGTGTCGCAGCCCTGACCTCAGACAGCTGAGCTGTGCACGCCGTCGGCTCGGCCGTCGGTCGCCACAGCCGCTGACGCCAGTGTCCAAAAAGCTCCAAACAATATCCGGCCCTGTATAGCAGGATAAGCCATCAGAGGCGGGAGTGATCAATGGAGGGACGCGAAACACTAACGCCAAGGGGATGACAACTGCTGAGGAATAAAGAAACTACATGAGATGATGTTTTTCGTACTCCAGCGTAGTACGAAAAACATCATCTCACGCTCTCAGTCCCAGCGGATAAAAACAACACCTAAGAAAGAAACTACATGCAGGTACACTGGGAACACGTCATGCTGGAGTTGACGTGTTCCCAGCCCGTCCTGTACCATGCAGCCCGTTCTGGTGATCACTCCCGCCTCTGATGGCTTATCCTGCTATACAGGGCCGGATATTGTTTGGAGCTATTTGGACACTGGCGTCAGCGGCTGTGGCGACTGACGGCCGAGCCGACGGCGTGCACAGCTCAGCTGTCTGAGGTCAGGGCTGCGACACAGCTCAGCTATCTCGGGTCAGGACCGTGACCCCCTATGAAAAGACCCAGAGAGGGATCTAACATCGGTGACTCCCTGCTTAACCCTAACAATCCCTACTTTTTTCTCCGCGCTATAAAAAAACACATGCGAGTTATAAAAAAAAAACACATCCCTATCAACCAGTCCCTATCAACCAGCTAACCCGCGCCCTTGTGGGGGGGGGGGCTATTTTTTGCCCCCCCTCCAAACTTTTCGATATATCTCCAGAACCACTGCGCCGATCGTCACCAAACTTTCAGTACCCTCCCGCACATTAATTTTACACATTGTGACCAAAAATTTTTCCAAAGACTATGATAGGTTGGCCGGAAATGACGTCAGAGTGACGTCATGTTCTGCCGTTTTCGACCCAAAAAAGGGTTTCGCGGGAAGAGCTGTCAGGCCTATAGCTTTGCAAATACAGAAAAATGATACAAACATAAAAGCTGTAGAATAGACAGGGCTACAAAACTGCTATCTCGGATTTTTGAAATTTTTGGATTTTGACCCCCAAAAATCAAAAAATAGATTTTTTGAATATAATAGCAAAAAAATCCAAAAAGTTTTTTGAATTTCGAAAAAAACCGGAATAAATGTGATAGTCCTTACCGCCTTCTATCTACATACCAAATTTGAGATCGATACCTCTTTTTTTGGCCAAGTTATAGCGAAAAAACTGTTCAAAATTGATGACGTCAAATTTTCAAACTCAATTTTCAGCAATTCTAGACCTCGTAGCGCAAAACAAAGACCACCATTAGACTCCCCGTGACGAGCTGCATCGAATCAATACCCATTTTATGCAAAAATATCAACTTTGAAATTTGACCTTTTTTGACCTGACCTTGACCTGACATCCACCAGAAAGTGACCTAAACCGTACCTGATGGTCTTATACCCAACACCATTGAGTTGGAAATGAAAAACTGGCCATAAAACATGTATCGCATAACCTTAGTAAAGTTGGGTTCATGTGGTGACCCTTGGTGACCTTTGGTGACCTGACCTGTGACCTGACCTGGTATGACCAGTGACCTCTAACAGCAACATATCTACTAGGCAACTGACGCCCTATCGCTGATTCCCGACAAAATGCGTTTTCCTCGGTGTTATAGCGCATTCCCTAGAAGACCCGTGAACGGTGAAACATTTCATCTTTGACCTGACCTGTGACGTCATCAGTGACCCCGAGGTCAATAAAATTTGGTTTCCCTCGACAAATTTGACAGGCCTTTCGAACGCCGTTTGAATTTTTCGGATCCGTCCAGTAGTTTCGGAGATACGAGGGGGGGCAAAAAATAGCCCCCCCCCCCCACCAGGTCGCGTTATAAACAGACCCCACCAGGGCGCGGGTTAATTAATTCGACACAGGTACTCTAACCGCATGTGTTTTTTATATCGCGGACAAAAAAGTGGGGATTGTTAGGGTTAAGCAGGGAGTCACCGATGTTAGATCCCTCTCTGGGTCCTTTCATAGGTCACGGTCCTGACCCGAGATAGCTGAGCTGTGTCGCAGCCCTGACCTCAGACAGCTGAGCTGTGCACGCCGTCGGCTCGGCCGTCAGGCGCCACAGCCGCTGACGCAAGTGTCAAAACAGCTCCAAACAATATCCGGCCCTGTATAGCAGGATAAGCCATCAGAGGCGGGAGTGATCAATTGAGAGACGCGAAACACTAACGCCAAGGGGATGACAACTGCTGAGGAATAAAGAAACTGCATGCAGGTACACTGGGAACACGTCATGCTGGAGTTGACATGTTCCCCGCACTGGCACTTATACTGATAGACCAGCCCAGCCTTCTCTTTGATCCCTAATTTGTCCTTGGGTTTGACGAGCCTAGCACTAAGGTTCGCTGCAGGTCTCGTGCTGACCTTCGCGTAGGGTCGGAGGACGCGCGTGACCTGTTCACTCACCCCCTGGATGTAAGGGATGCTTACATAAACCCGTTTGTCCTCCTCCTGTTCCCTGCCTACCCGTTCAGAACCACCACCCTCTCCCATGCGTAGTCGTTCTCTATTTTTTACCCGCCTGTGGATACGGCGCACCATTCGCTTTGGGTAGTGGTTCCTCACCAGTGCCCGTTCTATCTTCCCTGTCTCGCGTTCCTCGTCCTCAGGTGTTGTCGTGAGTCGTGATGCCCGTGTGAAAAGTGTCTGTGGGACTGATGCCTTGTGCTGTGAGCTGTGGTGTGATTCATAGTGAAGGTATTTGTCCGTATGAGTTGCTTTCCTGAACACCTCGGTCTTCATGGTCCCCCCTCCCAGTCTATGTACCTTTACATCCAAAAAAGGTAAGGATCCCTTCTTCTTCTTCTACACGTCACGCCGTGGCCGCCGGGGCGGCCACGGCCGTGGCAGCGTCGACCGGGGGGTCGACACGGCCCACCCGCCGCAGGTACTCGAAGATGAGAGTCGCTGATCCGCCCAGCACATGCCCCAGGCTCGGCAGAGGTCCGCCCCACAGGCGGGACCTCATGTGGGCGTACGCTGGGCATTCGGTCAGCAAGTGTGCTACCGAGTCTTCCTCCTCGCAGTTCAGACAGTCGGGGTTTGTCGCAAGACCGATCTCGTGGAGAGTCTTCCTTGTGAGCACTGATCTTCCCACTCTCAGTTGAGACAGTGTCACCTGCTCCCACCTGGTCAGGTCCTCGTGTCCGGGCGTGGGCGGTAGGTGAGGATGAGCTTTGGCTCGGGCTGCGGTCCACTCGGCGGATCTGTGGCGTATCGCCGCTCGGGCGCCGGCCATGTCCAGCGGGACCGCTGCCTGGCTTAGCTCTGCCGCGGCTCGGTTGGCTAGCCTGTCGGCGTCCTCATTACCAGGGATGCCAGCGTGCCCCGGTACCCACTGGAGGGTGACGTGCTTCCCGGAACACGTGAGGTCATGGAGAGAGGCCCAGATGCTCGCCGGTAGCTCCTCCTGTTGGGCTACCTGCCCGCGCTGGAGCGTCTGTAGACACGCCCTGGAGTCGGTGCAGAGGCGGATCTCCTTGATGGCGTCTAGGGAGTCGGCCGGCAGGCTCGCCAGGGACTTCAGTGCCTCCCGGACTGCCACCAGCTCCGCCCTGGTGCTGCTGCAGTGGGTGCCTGCAGCTGCCAGACACTCGATCCTGCGGTCGTTCTCCCGGTGTAGGATGATGGCCGCTCCTCCTCCTCCGTTGGACGTGCCTCCGGCCGCCGAGCCGTCACTCCATATGGAGCAGTCTGGCGCGGGCAGGGCGGCCAGGGCGCGCTCTGCCGCCTCTCTCCTCTTGTCAGGTGGGTCTGTCCGCCGCGTGGTGGTTGGTAGGTCCACGATGAAGGTCACTGACCCCTGATGGGCCGACCACGGCGGCTCCGGTGACACCCTCAGGAACGGCTCCGCTGGGCAGTCCGACACTCCCGCCTCCCTCAGAGTCCACTGGCCCACTCTGCGTATGCATGGCTTGTGGGGCAGCAGGGCGTCTTCATCCGGCAGGGCTGGCTCCGGTCGACCCTCCTCGGCAGCTTGTGCGCAGGCCCGTTTCCAGGCCTCGTGCGCGCGGTACTTGAGGCGAGGTCGGGGGTCTCGTTCCAGCAGCTGCTTGGCTCGGTCTTCCGCTGGCAGGCGAGCGATGCGGCTGGCTTCGGTAGCTGCCAGTTCCTTGGCCCGTACTGTCAGGGCGGGGAGGTCCGCCTCCGCCAGCAGAGCCGCTCTGTTAGTCGGGAGGATGCATCCGGTGATTATGCGGGCACACCTGTTCTGTTCAGTTTCGATCTTGGCGCGCAGGGCGGGGGAGGCGTGAGTGAAGTACACCGCCGCACCGTACTCGAAGACCGATCTGATGTAGGTGATGTAGGCCGTTCGGAGAGTCCTGCGGTGCGCTCCGTAGGTCTTCCCCGCGAGTGCTTGCAGGCACTGTCTGCGCTTTGCCATCCTGTCCTTGAGGGAGGAGATGTGGCTGCTGAAGGTTAGCTGGTCGTCGAAGGTGATGCCCAGGAAGGTCGGGTTCGGGTCGTACCTCAGAGGTTCTCCTGAGAACTTCAGCGTCGGTACCACCTTGCCTCCGCACTCCTTTGGGTCGAGGGTGAAGGTGGTGAAGCAGCACTTGGATGCGCTCGCCTGCACCTTCCAGTCCCGGGCCCACGACGCGACTGTGTCCAGCGCTGGTTGCATCTTCGCCGCACATGACTCCAGGGACGGTCCCGTGGCCAGGATGGCGACGTCATCGGCGAACAGAGACCAGGTAGAGTCGTTTGGGGCGTTCTTGTCGACATCGTTGATATACACCAGCCATAGTATGGGCGCGAGCACCGAGCCTTGCGGTAGGCCCTCTGGAAAGACCCTCCAGTCTGATGTGCTGTTGCCCCACCTGACCCTGGCTCTCCGATCGCTCAAGAAGTTACGGAGCCACTTGACCGCGTGTGCAGGCACTCCCAGGCGGCCCAGCTTGGCGAGGAGGGCGTCTCTCCACACCCTATCGTAGGCCTTCTGGAAGTCCAGCAGGGCAAGGACCGCACGCTCCGGCTTCGGCTTCTCGAAGGCGTCGAAAACGGACTGAGTGACTCTGATGATCTGGTCCATAGTCGAGTGGAGGCGCCGGAATCCCGCTTGGTTGGTGTTTATCAGTTGTCGGTCCTCGAGCCAGTACTGCAGCCTGTTCTGGACCATCCTCTCGAAGAGCTTGCTGGTGCAGCTGAGCAGCGAGATGGGCCGGTACGAGTTCGGGTCTGCTGGATCTTTTCCTTTCTTCGGGATGGCGATGATTTCGGCTCTGCGCCAGGCAGCCGGGACCTCCGCTGACTTCTAGCACTTGTTGCATAGCGCAAGGAGGTGGCGCTTGGCGGTGGCGGACAGCTGCTGCAACATGTCGTTGGTGATGCCGTCTACGCCTGGGGCCCGCCCTTTCTTGAGTTTTGCGAGCGCTGCCGACAGTTCGCCTTCCGAGAATGGGCTGCACAGCTCGCTCCTCTGGTTGTCGCAGGTGCAGTTATTTGTGGCTCTACGGGCTTCGATCTTGATGTGTCGGTCTTCAGTTTTGTCTTTTGGGATTTTAGAGACGGTCTGGTAGGTCTGGACGAAGAGGTTTGCTTTTTCGCGGTCAGTCGTAGCCGGGCGTTGGGGGGCGAGACGTCCTGGGGCTGCTGTCCTCTTGATAGTAGCTGCAGGTTTGGAGGGGGCTCGCCTCCCATCTAGCCTCTTGAGGAAGCCCCACATGTCGCCGTTTGGGCCCATGTTCGCGATCTCTTCTCTTGCGTAGCTGCGTCTCTCCTCCTCGAAGATGCGGTCCGCTTCTGCTCTCTTCAGCTTGTACCTCTCTACGTCCTCCCTAGAGTGGCCTGGAGCGGTAGCCTTCTTCAGAGCTTCGTCCCTGTCTCTCGCTGCGTCTTGACATCTGTCGTTCCAGAAGGCGTGTGCCTTTCTGTTTCCTTGTCCGAAGGGGATGTTTGCTTTTGCCGCTTTCATCACTGTCTGGGTGAATCGGGTGTCCAATTTGTGTGTGCTGAGGTCATCTTCGGTGCTCCAGAGCTTCATAGCCTTGTCCAGCGTGGACCTGAACCCCGTCCAATCGGCCTTCTTGAAGTTGAAGCGTCCTCTCTTGGGGATGTGCTGTGGTGGGTTCACCTCGATGGTGGTCCAGATCGGCAGGTGATCGGACCCCATGCTGGGTCTAGTAGACCAGGTGGCGGCGCTAGCCATGTCTCCTGAGATTAGGGTGACATCCGGTGCCGACCTCCCTCCCGTGCTCGGATTCACTCGGGTGTAGCTGGAGTCGTTCATAACGACAAGGCCGGATTGGGTGGTCCAGTCTTCGAGCTCTCTCCCGAGCTCGTCCTCAGGTTGGAACTGGTCCCAGGCTCCGCCGTGTGCATTGAAGTCTCCAGCCACTACATGCCGTGTGCCGGTGGCTATGCCGGAGAGCTGGATCGTCTGCCTCTGGGTGCCTTGACCCGCTGTCCATCTTGCCGGAGGGGCATACACGTTGATGATGGAGATTGGAGGAGACTTGGGAGGGTGGACGATGGTGCCCACGCAGTAGCTGTTGTCATCGGGTGTCGCTGGCTGGTACGGGTCGGTTAGAGCTGAGAAGGGCGTGTCTTCTCTCACGAGTGTGAGGACACCGCCTTGTTTCGATGATGTAGTCCGTGACTGAGGATTTGGTAGGCCGTCTCGAGTTCCGTCCGGGGCTGGGACATCTGGTCCAGCAGCAGCAGTCGCTCGGCCGGCTTCCCGCAGCACGGTCGCTCTCCGTTGGCACGCTCTCTTCGCCTTGCAGCTGTCGCACCACTGATCACGCGCGTCCTTATGCCTTCTTCGACAGGTCCAGGTCGCCGTTTCATTTTGACCAGTCGCTGGCGCGCGTTGGTGGCTCTGCTGCTGGGTCTGCGGGCCATCATTTGCGTCCGGTGCTTGATCCGGCTTGAAGTCCTGCCTCGCGGCGACATTGTAGCCCGGTACGGTTGGGTTGGGTGAGGTCGGTTTCAGAAGAGTTTCTTGGAGAAGAACCACATGGGGCTTCTCGTCAGCGATCCGCTTGCGCAGTTCGGTGAGCCTCGACATAATGCCATTGCAGTTGAATTGCATTATGCTGAAGGGGACAGTCTCTCGGCGGTCTTGTGGTGGGACATTGGGTCGGTCGTTACTGTTACCGCGGCGTCCTGGTTGCGACGGCGCTCTTGTCCGGTGGTTTGGGTTTTGGTCTTGTGGTTCTTGAGCGGTTCCTCTCGCGGGTTGTGATGTGGTTCCGCGCTCCGGCCGGGCGTCCCCGCCCGCTCGCGCGTGGTCCGGCGCGGTGGGGCTGGAGTCCCGCTGAGGCTGCTCGTCTTGAGCAGTGGACTCGCGGCCGTTTGCGGTGCATCCTGGGCAGGACCAGGCCGATCCGCGCCTCGCCATCCAGCGAAGATCGTGTGTGGTCAGCTCCGTGCACCTCCGATGGTGCCACTTGTCGCAGTATCTGCACTGCACAGAACTGCGCCCCACATTCGTCCGGCAGATGCCACACGGGTAGGCCAGGGGGCCCGGAGTAGGGCGTCGAGGAGTCACGGTCTGGTTTGTCGGTTGAGTTGCATTCTGGGAGGTCGGTGACTGCGTGAGCGGCGGCACTCGTGGCAGGGATCCGGCGGGCTGCGACGGCGGCGACGGAGGATCAGTCGCGCAGCCACCGCAAGTCCACTCCGAGTCCTCTCGGGCCATGCGTCGCAGGTCCTGCACAGTGAGTGGCGTGCATCGTCTGTGATGCCACCTCTGGCACTGCACGCACAGGATCGAGCTCCGCCCGACACCTCCGCCGCAGGCTCCGCAGTGGAACACTGGTCCGGGGTTTGTCTCAACATCTCCGGCTCTTAGCAGTAGCAGGGCGAGGTGAGCCAGTCCCCGCCCCGCTCCCGAAAACCCGGGTCTGGTAGGTAGATGTAGACGTTGGTCCGGCGGGTACGTGGTTTCGGAGCAATTTGACCTCTTGCGAGGCACACCACCCCCGCGTGAAGGGTGCTCCGTTGGTGGCCAGGATCCCTCCTTTTCCTCCTCGAGCGTGAATTCAATCCTCTTGTGCTGAGCGTTGAGGTGGTCGAGTAGTTCACCTACCTGATCTTTCTTTAAGATCACGAACGTGTCATCTACGTAACGTCTCCACAGTTTCACTGGGTGTGGAAACGACTGGAGTGCACTGGATTCGAACGATTCCATGAACAAGTTGGCCACCACAACGCTCACTGGACTCCCCATGGCCGTGCCCCACTTTTGCTTAAAGAACTTTCCGTTAACCCTAAAGTAAGTAGTACCCAAACAGAGCCGTAACAATTTTATGATATCCTCGACCTCCAGTGCTGTTTCCGCTCTTACCTTGCTTTCCTCATCCAAAAACTCTTCTTCGAGTCTCTGGCGTGCTACTTCACATGCTGCCTCTGTCGGTACCGATGTGAACAGCGCTTTGACGTCAAAAGAAACCATGGTCTCATCGTCACCGAGCGTAACATCTCGTAAACTCTCTTTGAAACTCGCCGTGTCCTTGACATGATGTTCAGACTTGCCTACCAGAGGAGATAATATGCTAGCTAAATGTTTGGACAGCTGGTACGTTACACTGCCTATGCTAGACACGATGGGACGTAGCGGAACGCCCTGCTTGTGCACCTTCGGTAGCCCATAAAGCAATGGCGGAGTCGGGTCCGACGGGTACAGTTTTAGATACGTTTTTCTGTCCAATTTGCCCTGTTGTTCTAAGTCCTTTAGCGCCCCCCTTACCTCTCGTGTGTATAGTCTCTCTTGAAAGTATCGCGTCCTGGGCTGCGGCGGCTCAGCGAACTATTCCATTCAGTTTGAGGACCCCAGTAGGGAGGTCATGGCCTGTATCATAAAAAGTACGCTGTACCACGATTTCACGCCATCGGTAGAAGGAAAACTGCTATATGACGCAGGCCCCAGCGGCTGACAACTGGGTCAAAACAGGCGGAGGCCGGCCAAAGGTCATGCTCGTATCGCTCTCCCTTGACCCCGTCCACCGCCCCAGGCGGATACCGGTGCCTCTTGGGGCTCACCAGCCGGGCGCTCATTGGTGTGCCTTACTGGGCGCCAATCACTCAGTGTGCGTGACGCGTAAAATCACAACGAAACGAAGTTCCGCCATAACTCTTACTGTGATGGGGCCTTCTGAATGACGTAAACAGGTCATGCGGGGGGGGGGGAAGCCTGGCATCAAATAAGTTTTTAAAAAGAACATGGCTGAATAGCATCTCTTTTCTTTTTTGTCGCCGTTCACTAACCGGCTCATTAAAAAGAGAGCTTCAAATATAGGACTAAATGGCTAGACAGCGAATCGGCGAACTGGCTAGAGAGATAATTCTTGTTTTTGAATCCGCTTACGAGTGCATGTGCAAGCACGGATGCATTCTGTTAGCGGTGCAACTGATGATTTTTTGGGTATATGGGCACGGGTTTCCGGATTTTACCCCCCCCCCCCACAAAAAAAAAAATGTGACAGTCGTGCCGATGACGAGTCAAATTGCTAACTTTGCAATGAAACAAATCTCAACAAATCCTCTGCGAGTAGGGTGGCTTCCGTTGACCACATGCTTAGCTGCCATCACAAGTAGAGATTGCAATCCCGAAACGTTTTGCCAATCCCGGGATCCCGAAAGTTTTTATTTCGGGATCCCGGGATCCCGGGATCCCGGCATTGTCACTAAATGTCGTAAGAGTGATTTCCTACTGACATATTTTGCGTCTTTAAGCTTACCACAAACAAAGAGGCAACCAAAAGCCATCCTTAGACCATGTCATTTGCATTAAAAACGATTAAATTTGCGAATAAAACGTTTCGATTTGATTAGCATTAGCATTTATTCCCAATTGGCCTTCATAAAACTGTGCGTCGACTAGATCGTTTACTAGACAGGTTCCAGCACATCCACGCCTCACTCACTCTTCGTCTACGCTACTCGTAGTTAGCGCGACAGTTTTAAGCCATTGCCATGTTGGTCTACTTAAAAACTCGCAACCAGTGTACGCCAACTTTGGCAGCTCCCTATTTCACAGTGTTTTCAAAACGTCGCTTGGTCACTTTACCTCCTTCCGATTCCGCTTTCATCATTAATGTCTCTCAGAATTTGCTCGAAAGTCGCTTTGAGAGCAGCATCACTGACTGGGAGAGCTTCACTCTACCGTATTCAACGTCTGAATCAGTGAGCTCTGCCGTCACTTGCGTGACATCTGTGACATCTTTCTGCGACACGAGCTCAAAGACTGTCTTGATGACCTCCTTTGTTCCGGCCACGGACGGGCAAGTCAGAATCGCTGAACGATCTGTGATCCTGATAAAGATGTTGCAGCGCTGATGCTGCATTTTTTTTTTGCTTTCGGGTCCTTTTTTCGTACGTATTTAAGCGGCTTAACCGCTGTGGGTGATACCCGAGAGCTACCAACACGGTCGATTGTGGACGGCCAATACGGGGTGCCAGCTAAATAGTTTATCTGCTTTATGTCACGCAGCACAATAAACAGTGTAAACAAGACTCGTGCAGCGGCTGCATTCTTTTTAAGGTGAAAATTGATTCTTTTCGGGATCCCGGGATTGGCGAAATTTCGGGATCGGGATCGGGATTAAAATCCCGCCGGGATCCCGGGATCCCGATCCCGGGATTGCAATCTCTAATCACAAGTTACCGGATGGCGACTGTCACCCCCCCCCCCCATCCCTCCGCAGTCCGTAACCACTCCCCTCGGCCCGCTGCGCCGGCTGCCTCCGCGTGTCAGACTTCGGTCAGTACTACCAGCGGCTCTCAAACCTTTCCGCTCAACCGCGGCTGGGACAGGTGGCGCCTTCCATCAGAGTCGCGATACTTTCAAGAGAGACTATACCTACCGGTTGGGTCCCTATCCAGTTCAGTGTACGTGTCGTGATCCCCTATTAGTGTTTCTAACCTACTTTGATACTGCTCACAGGTCATCACACATACAGATCTACCCTTATCTGCAGGTAAAATCATAATATCTTGCCTATCTTGTAGGTCACGTAACGCTTTCCACTCCCCCTTACTGAGATTTTTGCTTTGCGGGGGACGGAAGGAATTGAGAGCTTTGGTGACCTCGAATCTAAGCCTATTCGCTACATCCGGTGTTACATCGTCTGAACGGCACACACTTTCGACCGCCGAAACAAAATCCGC